GCCACTGTTTCCAAGGCCAAACACATCTGAAAGCTCATGGAGAAGAAGAAAAGTTGAATCCTTGCAACTTCTTCATACAGGCCATTTCAAACCAGAGTTTTGAAAACTTTAACACAGTAAGACTTCCTCCTTATTTAGCTGAAGTGGAAGAAGCTGATATTAAGCATCAGAGCAACAGCTCTCCCTTGTGACTGAGAAAGGCAACAGTTTCTTTGTCAGGGAGTGTTTCAAGTCAGGTATCCAATTATTTTAGTGTGATAATTATTAATGTTTGTTAGGAACGTACAAAGGATTAGCCATTTCTGTAGGAGTCATTAATCACAATGCTGTGACAAGTGTTTCTTGTTTTTGTGTCTTCGAGGCAGTGTTGACTCCTGACGACTGCCTAGACTAGTCCCTGAAGTTTTCTTGGTAAGATTTTGGAAGTATTTCGCCTTTGGCTTCTTCTTAGGGCTGAGAGAGAGTGACTGGCCCAAGGTCATCCAGCTGGCTTTGTGACTAAGGCAGGACTAAAATTCCTGGTCTCCCAGTTTCTAGTCTGGTGCCTTAACCATACACCAAACTGGCTCCCTGACAAATGGAATACTGATAGTTATATTCTAATAATCTGGGGAAAAATAGTTGCACTAGGTTCTCTGTACAGATTTGTGCATTGTAAGACTCTATCTCTCTCTCTCTCTCTCTCTCTCACACACACACACACACACACACACACTGATACCATATGGTGATCAGGACGTGATCTGACCATGAGAAGGGGGACACTAAAAGCTCCCCCAGTTCCAGATCACAATGCCACTGCTCCGACAGGAAAACCAAATCAGGTATGTGACCCCTGTCCCGTGTTGGGCCCTGAATAGGCCCATGGCTCTCATGGTAGCCATGAACTCCCACTCGCCATAGCTTCAGATCCCACTCCCAGCGAAGGCAGATTGAAGTCTCCCAAGACCATAAGTTTGGGGAACTCCACCACCAACTCAGAAATGGAGTCCAGCAGCTCAGGCAGGGAGTTTGCTAAACAGCAGGGAGACTGGTATAGAAGCAACAATCCCAACTGATCCCGAGAGCCCAACTTAATGAACAGGGTCTCACATCTGGCAATCTGTGGAGCAACACCCCTGAAAGCCTTAAGAGATTCTCAGATGACAATTGCCACACCACTGCCCCTGCCCTGGGATCTCAGCTGATGCCACACTTGAAACCCAGCTGGGCACATTTCTGAAAGGGGAACCCCCCTCCCCTTTTGGGCCCATATACCAGACTGACCTGGTATTTAATAGCAGCCAGAAGCCAGGGCCTCTGACAGTCTGCTGACTGGGCACAGGGGTCGAGTGCAGAGAGCTGGAACATGGAACTGGTACAAGACATTGGGGCTGTTCCACAAGAACGGTCCACTCCCTGTCTCCTGCCATATCCACCCATTCCCTTTACCACTGTGATATTCTGACCCACCTTACCCTCCCCCAAGACCCCAGCATCCCCCAATCCAACCCTCCCAGTATCCAAGGCCGGGGATCTCCACCTGTCCTCCACATCATCCATCCCAGGGAAGGGGAACCAAGTCCCCTAAGGCACTTCAGCATTGGCTCTCAGTGCCATGAGGGTATCAATAACCACCTCCCTCCAGACTCACACAGCAACATCGTAACCAGCCCCCCATCACTCTCACCAGACTGGTTGGGGGGCCCCTTGCAAACCACATCCATCCTAACCAACCTCCCCCATTAGCTCTCACCTAGGGTGGGGGGATCACTCTCTCAGTGAACCCTCACCAAGAGCCGTCAGACCCCAGTCAAACTACCTATCCTGAAAGTGGAGGCCTGCCCTGAGGATAAATTTGGTGCCACAATGATCAGTCCGATGTCCTTTGTTTGAGTCAGCAAAAAAGGAGTAAGCTGGCCACCGCAGAGGGGAGAAAAGGAGTCCACAGCAGTCTGGAAACCAGTCTGCTGCTCCCACCACCTCCATTTGGCCCCACCCACAGCTGCTGGACTCGATGGTGTCTCTTTTCGGGGGCCACAAAAAACGCCACGCTACAGTGCCAACCAGCCAACAATGACACCCACCATCACAGCAGGTGAAAACAGAGGGAAACAGAAGAGATCCCAGCGCCAGCCGACTGACGCAGCCAACAGTCGGTTGTAAGCCTCAAGGCAAGGAAAGCCATATTATTATTTATTATTCACTGTGAATTAAGTCTTTCTATCTGACGAACGGGGTAAATATATGACACTTAGGTGACAGTTCTATATTCTTGAATGATGCTCCAATGAACTTAATAGGACTTCTAAATAAATACCCCCCCCCCATCATCTTGAATGTCTTTAGTCTTTTTTATGTATATGGTCTTTTTATATAGTTTGACTTTTTAATTAAATTAATGGGGATATTTATATTTTTAACTGTTTTTGGGTTTTACTTTAATTGTGAGTCAACCTCTGGAGGAGATGGGCGGCATATAAATTAATTAAATAAATGAATGAATAAATAAATAAAATGAATTACTATCAATATTATTATAATATTAGTCCATCTATATTACAGGTTCTCTATGCATTGTAGAATTATTTTAAAATAAATACACCAAAATACACATACCTAAAAACACAATATTATATACAGCTCAGTAAAAATAGAAAGAGAAATGAAAATGTTTAGAAGAATGTAGATCTGGCCTTGGGAATGGGGAAGAAACGATTGAACTGTTAAAGGAGGACTTTCAGAAAAGATTACTCAGTCCTGGGAAAGAGGAAAGTATGAACAAGAAATAACCCTGT